AAAACCTGACATTATCTGTAACATTAAGCACTGCTCTTTGCACTTTAAATATACAGGTACATAATTCTTTCCAAACCCCTGGTGTCAGATGTGTTTCTACAATTCAGAATTTTGGATTTTAGAATACAGATATATCATTTATTTTTTTTTAATTTTATTTATTTGAGAGAGAGAGAATGAGAGACAGAGAGCATGAGAGGGAAGAGGGTCAGAGGGAGAAGCAGACCCCCCGCCGAGCAGGGAGCCTGATGTGGGACTCGATCCCGGGATTCCAGGATCATGACCTGAGCCAAAGGCAGTCGCTTAACCAACTGAGCCACCCAGGCGCCCCCTAGCATTTATTTTTTTAACGTCAGTAGGATCTGTGCTAGCATTCTGTAATTAAACATATTAATATTTCTGAGGCAAAATACGATTTCATACTCTTAAATTAACCCACAAATTTAGTTTTTTCTGGATTAAAATAAACAATTCATTTAACTCCTAACAGCTCATGAGGTGGATATTATTATTATCCTAAGAATTTGATCAGCATGATGTGCCAGTCTTCTTATACCTTCAACAGTTGTTAAGGGCATCTTGTTTCTCTGTAATTACCCGGATTTAAAAAACAAAACAAAACAAAAAAAAACACAGCACCTTCAACACAAATCAAGGTAACTTGCTTATACTACCTTCTTTAAGAAGCAAGAGGTTTGGATTCCTAGTTAAGTTTCCTACTTAGGAAACTGATAATATTCTGACATTTACAAATATACCTTTCCGGGGGGGTACCTGGGTGGCTCAGTTGGCTGAGCATCCAACACTTGATTTTGGCTCAGGTCATGATCTTGGGGTTGTGGAAATGAGTCCCGCGTCAGGCTCTGTGCTGGGCATAGAGCTGGCTTGGGATTCTCTCTCTCCCTCTGCCACTCCCCATTTCACACTTGCTCTCAGAAAGAAAAGAAAAGACGAAAAGGAAGACAGAAAGACAAAGACAGAAAATACCTCCCCAGCCCACATACAAGCAGAATTAAATAATTCAACATACACATTTTCGGCTTCATTGTCAGATAGGTAGTTAATAAAAAATCACTCATTGTACACCCAACTCATAAACCTCAAGAGGGAGAGTTACAACATGGCACTGGAGTCTGACAGGCCTAGGTTCAAATCCCTACTGCATCACTTATCAGTGGAGTAAATTTGGGCAAAGAACTTAACTTTGGCCTCATTTTTCTAATCTGTAATAAGATGCCATCACTACTTCACAAGGCTGTTATATATGAGGTAGTGTATATATGGCACTTAGTGACACCTGGCCCATAAAATGTACTAGTACAGAACTGCTACCACTGTTACTGCCCTAATGGATTAGCAATGCATAGGATTTTAGCTTGATTTGGGGGGCAAGTTTATTGAGGTAGGAAGAAAGGCTCAGAGTTAACTTCAGAAGCAAATCACAAGGATGGTTCCAAACAGTAACATCTGTGAGTAAATCAGTATTTCCAATTTACCCACAAGTTTATTTCCAAAATCAAATTATCTTGGTTTAAAATGAACCTACAATAGAATATGCATAATTGGAGACAACGGAAACCAGATCAATGTTGATGATCTCTCATTTAGAACTACTTAACTCTTTCTGGCACAGACACCATTATTTTGTCCTTTTAAGCTTTTATTATCTCCTCTCCTTCGTTTCTCCGAGCCAGAGATAACCAAAACCCATATTCTTATGAGACTATATAATAACAGGTATGAATGTCTAAAGGTAAACTTCTTTAGAGGTGGTTAAAAAGTAAAGTAGCTCTCATAACCAACCACCCACCCAGAAATTTTCTGAATATTTTTGGAAACGTCAGTAATAGCTACAAGTCAGAGAAATACACACTAATTTGGACAAGGAAGATCCCAATACAATTAAGGTTCATTAGGCAGATCAGATGGTAAATTAATAGGCAATACTGCTATGAATCAGTGAGAGATCTCAAAGATTAATGACCTATTCTGATATGCAGATAACTGGGGAGGGAGAAAAGGAAAATAAAATGGGTAAGGATAGCCAAACAAATAAATTTAAGTTCTGAACTAAATTAAAATCTCTACCTATTTAATGTATTGACACACCCCCACTTTAAATATTTGAAATTCATAAAATTTATAAATTTATAAATGTAAGAATTCAATTTTCTCCCTGGTTCTAAATAGCCTCAGGGAGACAATAATCATTCAATGTTCTGAAGTTAGTGACTATCACAAATCTAAGAGATTAAATAATTTTAAAAATGTAGTTATCAATGCAAACGCTCCTTTCTCTCCACTCCATATAAAGACAGAGAAAACCAATTATTTTTTAAAGTGGCCTGTAAATGCCAATGCTGAAGACTGAACTTTGTTATAGCTGGCAACCAACTCTGAATGGGTTAGGACACATGACAGAAAATTATCAAAACTGACCCTGTACAGCCATCTAAAGAGATTACTTGATAGAAGAGCTCAAAGAAGTAGATTATCCTGTTCAAAATTCTTTGATGATAGTGTGAGAACTGTGGGAAGTCATCAAGGTGCAGATGATTACAAAAATCAGGAGAATAGATGAAAGCACTAAGAAAAAAACGTATTCCAAGACTAAACCTTAAAAAGGAAAATAAGAAATACTAGAAGAAAAAAAATGTACCTTTTGAAGAAACAAAAGGTTAACCAGAACATTAAGAAAACCAAAATTTAAGAACTGAAAATGGAAGCCTAGAAAGAGAGAGCAATTAATAGCTGAGAATATAGAGCGTAAGGATAAAGAGGCTCTTAACTGAAATGATGGGTTTGTTGGCTTTTTGTTTTTTTAACTTTCTGCAGGCTAAAAATTTTCAGTATCTAGGAGGGTGAAAGAGAAGCAGTACTTCGGAGTGGTATTTTAGGGCAGCAGTCTAACCTACTTCTCATAAGTCCCCTCTTTACCCATAAATCTGTTGTACTTAGACCAGGTCCATTTATAGTCATGTATATTAGGAACTTCATTCAGCTCAGCAAAATCCTGAATCCCAAACATTAAGCAAATCTAGCCAACAGATAAGCATACTTTAGATATAACGTAACCTTGTAAAGTACAAGCAAAACTAGTACTAGAATTTTTTTTAAATCAACTTCTATTACAATAGTGTCATTCCTAAGAAAGAAAAAAGCTGCTCTTAAGCAACAAAAATGTTTCTTATTTAGAACCATGGACTTTTAATTTTAACTCTAAGGCCCTAAAGATTATTTACAAATAAAGGAACTAAGACATAGAAAGGCTAAACCTGCTGAAGATTATAAAGCTAATTAGTGGCAGAGATTTGCTGAAGCTAGGATTCCTGTCTCTGGGGAAGTGCTGTATGCCCAACTTAACGTATCTGTAGCATTGGCCTCCCTACCCCCCTTTAGGATTAATGGTACTGAGAAACTGTGACATACAGAATGGTACTGAGAAACTGTGACATACAGAATACTAAAACTACTATCTAATTTCCTTAAGGAGAAAATTTCAGAAATTCACACAAGCAAGAAATTAATTTTGCCTTTTCCTTCAGTGCTGAAGAATCAAAAAAGTAGCCTGTAGTCTTAAGTGGGCAAAAGGACAAATGAAAACTCCCAGGTGCATTAACAGGCTGTAAGAGGTTTGGGTAAAGTCAGATATCACCCCACCACCATTTTCCTCAGGAACCCTGCTACATTTCAAGTCAAATGACTAGATTGAAGGGACTGAATTCTCACTCTTTAGGAGGCTGAACCAATGGCTGATTCACCTCTGATTCACCCTATCCTCAGCTATGAGGGTACAGAAATGCCTTGCCGCACTGAAACCTAAGACATCAACCTCAACAATTCAACAATTATGGTCAAAAAGCAAAGTCAGACCTACAGGTTATCAATGGCCTATACTTTGTAACAGCTGAGACTGCAAAAAATTTAATCATAAAACACTATTTTTCTGTCTCAAGACTGTATTTATGATGAGTTCAGCAATCAGCCATTCCATAATTCTTTCATGAATGTTAAGTTTCTCTCTGCTAGATTATAAGCTCTTTGAAGCTAATGATCATGTCTTTACTTTTTGTATTCCCATGGTATCTATTTACTCTAGAAATAGAGTACATACTAAATATATACCTATTAAATTACCCTCTCAGCAGCTAGCCTAAACCACTGAAACCAAAGTAATCGTTGGGATGTGAGAAGAGAAATATTCTAAGAAAGAAAAAATTACAGAAAAACAAAAACAAAACAAAACCTCAAAACAAAACAAACCACCAGTAATTTCAAGCCTCCTGAGGTGCCCCTCCCAAAAAATCAACAACAAAAAAACCCCAGCAAGAAGCAGTGTTGGGCTTTCCTAAATCACTCTTTGGCCCAATTTCACAGATTAGCCTTCAGTATGGATAAATTTGCAGCATGTTAAACTCAGGTGTCTATGTTTTATACAGGAATTTGGAAGGTAAGGACCAAAATCTCAGTGTAACTACAAATATTTCCCATAAAAATAACCAAGTAAGAATTCCCTGTTATAATTTCTCAAAGTTCTCATTACAAAACTTAAGAAAAAGGTAAAGAAACCAAACTTCTTCATAGAAAAATTGTATTTACAACTCCATCCAAAAGCTGTTTTTAAAAGCAAACAATGTAACACGGAAGGTGAAAAAAAATCTATGCTCACCCAAAACTGCCAAATCTAATAAATTATTAACAGAATACTCCATCAAAAATAAGGCAATAACCCAAGATATCCCACTGATGATTTTTCCATTTCCATAACTAGGTAGAACTAATCTATCTAGTAGCAAATGATACTTTATTCCATTTCAGCATGTCTGAAATCCTTAAGGACAAAAGTGTTAAAAAATGATCTTAGTTCTTCATTAGACTCTTAGAACGCTTGGAAGGAAAATAATTTCTAAAGCACAAAGAGGTAAAGAGGTATAACCTTTCAAAAAGATACTAAGAGTTCAAAATTCAAGAATGCAATATTAATACACAATGGGCATAGGTGAATATATGCAATACAGTGATAGCAAATTAATTTATTTAGTACTTTTTCCATTCCATATCATCAGGAGGATTGATTTCAACTTTCCTTTTACCTACATCAGACCAGTTGGTACTCAAAACTGTACCACCAGACTCCATCTGCAATAAGAAATAAAAATAGATTAATCCCTGGACCATATAATCAGAGTATTTTTCTAAAAATGTTCCAAGCATAGTGTTCTAAATATAGCCTATGTTTGGCTCAATATAAACACAAGATATTTTGATTTAATCTTGGGCTTTTCAAATAAGTTAGGTAGAAGGCATCATGTTCATACAGTCATATAAAGCACATCTCCCTTGGCTAATCAGCATTGAGGTAAATGTGGAAAATCTACCTTCTGATGAAAATAAAACTGGCTCCCCAAGAAAATAATAATCTCTTTTGTTAAAGACAGTAAAGACCAGACAAAGTAAACTCTTTCTATACTAGTTGGACAAAACTTTTAAGATCCCCTTTGTAATGCTCTGTGACAAATATATACAAGGGAATGCTGGAATTTTTTTCAAATCAATGTGCATACACACAAGTACATAAAATCAGTACCTCAGTAAAGAACTGATTATCTATTTACCATCTATAGAATACACCACCCACCAAAAACCCTAGCACATTCATAAGTACATTCTAAAAAAAACCTCTGGACATTTGTTATCTTAAAAAAATTAACTGACTTGGATCACAGCAAAAAACAGTGTGAATTATTCAGATCTAAACATTTTTACATGATCACCAGGCTGCTGGCATTATGTATATAGTTACAAACCCGACTATTACACTGGAACCTCAATATAACCTCATGCCCCACACTCCCTGTCAAGCTCCCTTACATGGGTTGCTTTGCATGGGATGTTCTTTGCCACCAGTTTATTTCCCCCCTATTGTTTAGTTATCCTCTAAACATAACATTTCACCATTTCTCTGTGGCCTCCTTTGACCCTAATCAAGACTCTACCTTTGTAGAATTTGTGTTCTGTATGAGCATAATTACCATTAATATGTATCACACTACACTGTTAGAATTTTAAGGGTCTGCTTTCTTTTATATGTTTCGTACCCTTAGTTCCAACTAAAGCTGAGAGCTCCTACAAGGCAAGGCACATATTTTACTAACACTTATATCCTAGATCTAAGCCAGAACGGATGGGCACATGATAGACTTCAAATAAAATATTGATATGAATCTTTGTAAATGTAGTATGTAGAAGCATGTGGGAATAGACCTATTCTTACTTGAATGAAACTATACAGCTTATGTTTTAAGTAACACCTTCTTTAAGATATAAGTATATGTAAACATACGTTAGCAGCATATAGCATGAGCCTTGTGCTTACCTCACTGAACTACAGTGTGTATAAACTGTCATTCAAGTAACAAATATTCTCTCATTAATATAAACCCACTAACATCCTAAACCCCTAACCCTAATCCTAATGTCATCAAGCCCTCTGGAGAGTTCTCCAAATTGCAGGATACCAGGCATATACCCTCAACCCTGGCCCTAACTCTAACCTAATCCTAACCCACATCTGAGAAGAAAAAAAGAAAAAAGAAGTGGTATACATATACAATGGAATATTATACACACACACACACACAAATCCTGCCATTAGCAATGACATGGATGGAGCTAGAGCTAACTGAAATGTTAGTCAGAGACAGACACCAAGTGATTTCACTCATATGTGGAATTTAAGAAACAAAACAAAGGAGCAAAGAGAGAGAGGCAAACCAAGAAATGGATCCTTAACTATAAAGAACAAACTGACAGTTACCAGAGGGGAGGTGGATGGGGGCATGGGTTAAATAGGGGATAAGGATTAAGGAGTATACTTGTGATGAGTACCGGGTGATGTATGGAAGTGCTGAATCACTATTTTGTACCCCTGAAACTAAGATTACATGTATAGTAACTAACTGGAATTTAAGACTTTAAAAACTTTGAATAAAAAGAGATAAATTCTATATAATAAACTACTCCTATGAAGATGAAGGACTCAGATTTAGTTTATAATCTGATATTTACTGATGACATTTATTTTCCCCTCTTCCCTTATGGACTACAGTGCAATTTAGCATTTCCCTCTGATGATTTTGTACATGTTGGTCTTTTTTTCCCAATTAGACTGGAAGATCATAGATGACAGAGTCTATTGCCCTTGTTTTCCCAGAAGCACTTGGTATGTTCCAGGTGGCTTGTTTAATGGGTGTATATGGTTCAGTTACTATTAGCAAAGCCTCTGTATGAAAATGGATGCAGATTCTATAATCTATCTTTGAAATTTTACACACTGTTATTCTGTCTGGCATACTCTTAAAAAAGTCAATACTGAAACTGACTTCTCTTCCTGGGGACACAGAGATGTATTTTACCCTATTCTTCCCACTTAGTACTACTAAAAACCTTGGACATTATATATATGTAAATAAACATAAGAATACTCTAAAAGATGAAGGAAAGAAGACAGATCAGCTAGGGACCTTGGGAGCCAAGGAACAACATAACATGGTGGTGAGTCCCCTGGGTTTTCTTTTCTGCCTCATGTCCTAGAGTTGCTGCTGAAGAAGCTGGAAACACTAAGAGGCACACACAAAAAAAGCTCGAACAGAAACCTGGTTTCTCTAGCTAAAGGATGAAGAAAGAAAAAAAGCTTAGGAAGACAGAAAAGTTTTAGACTATAATTGCTCCACTGCACTAGACACCACAGAAAAAAACCGTGGTGCCATCCCCACCCAAGGCCAGTAAAAGCTGCGTGAGGAGCCTAGACTTCCACCCATGCTGGGCTATCATGAAGCCACCTCCTCTGCCACCTGTGGTATCAGTGAAAACCAAGAGACATCTACCTCACTCCCAGCCGTGGTGAAGAGATGCCCTGGGATGTCTAAGGAGGCTGATTAGGGTGCCTGGATTTCCACCTCCACCTAGCAATAATGAGGCAGTGCCTTCCCTTCCTCTGACAGAGTGATTGGCAGAGAGAGCCAAATAAGATGGAGGATTTATTTGATTTTATTTAAGATTTTATTTATTTATTTGACAGAGACACAGCAAGAGAGGGAACACAAGCAGGGGAAGTGGGAGAGGGAGAAGCAGGCTCCCCACGGAGCAGAGAGCCCGATGCAGGACTCAATCCCAGGATCCCGGGGCTGTGACCTGAGCCGAAGGCAGATGCTTAACTGACTGAGCCACCCAGATGTCCCTAAGAGGATTTAAATAAGATCCAGTCTCACAGCAGAACATGAAAACATCCAAGTTTCAACTGAAAATCACTTGTTGCTGGTAAAAAAAAACACCAAGCACAAGGAAAATTTCGGATTCTATTTTTTTTTTAAAAGACAATCAACAGGGTGCCTGGGTGGCTCAGTTGGTTAAGCGACTGCCTTTGGCTCAGGTCATGATTCTGGAGTCCTGGGATCGAGTCCCGCATCGGGCTCCCTGCTCAGCAGGGAGTCTGCTTCTCCCTCTGACCCTCTTCCCTCTTGTGCTCTCTCTCATTCTCTCTCAAATAAGTAAAAAAATAAAAGACAATCTACAGATGCTAATGTTGAGATGAGAAAAATGTTAAAATTATCTGACAAAGATTTTAAAGTAATCATAGTAAAAAAATGCTTTACTAGAAATCATGAATTTGGTTGAACCAAATGAAAAATAGAATACAGCAAAGAAAAGACAATATAAAGAACCATCAAATGTTTTAGAATCAAAAACTACAACTAAAATAAAAGGTAAGTGGATAACACTAAAGAACAGAATAGAAGGGACCGAGAAAAGCACCAGTGCACCTGAAAACAGGACAATATAAATCACCTAATCTGAACAAAAGAAAGAAAAGAGAGATAAAATGAAGAAAGTCTCAGGGATGTGTGATACTGTAACAAAATATTTATCTTGTATCATCAGGTTCCAGGAAGAAGGAGGTAGATCTGAAAAAGTACGCAACAAAATAATGGCTGAATATTTCCCAAATTTGGCAAGACACATAAACCTACAGATTCAACAAACCCCAATCAGAATAAACCCAAAGAAATCCATGCTGACAGAGAATCTGTCACAGGCAGATCTAAAAGAATGCCAGGGGGCACCTGAATCGGTTAAGCATATGACTCAATCTCAGCTCAGGTCTTGAGTTCAAGCCCCGCACTGGGCTCCACTCTGGGCATGGAGCCTACTTGAAAATTTTTAAAAAAATAATTATTATTAAAAAAAAAAAAAATGCCTAAAGTTCTCTAAAGTAATAACAGAACCTCAGAACATTAGAAACGAAAACAGACAAAGTAGAATTTGCTTTTTCTCTTGAGCTTTCTAAATTACATGTGACAGTTGAATGAAAATATAACAATGTATATAGAGGAAATACTTGTGAAAATTATAAATGAGAGAGGGTAAAGGGACATAAAGGGAGGAGGTAAGGCTTCTACACTTCAAACTGACAAGAAAAATGACACCAGTAAACTCTGATAAGCTATGTATAATATAGCTAGTATACAGAGCAACCACTAAAAATGCTATACAAAGAAGAAACACTAAAAAAATTATAAATAAATAAAAATGAAACTAAAAAATATTTAAAAGTACTCAGAGGAAGGCAGGAAAAACAAAAGAACAAAAAATAAATAAAATGGTAGAATTAAAGTCCTAAAATATCAATAATTATATTCAATGTAAATGATCTGAATACATCAATTAAAAGACAGAGACTGACAGAAGAAGTGAAAAAACATAACCCAACTATATGCTGTCTCCAAGAAACTCACTTTAAAAAAACAGTAGGACTCAAATCAATTTAAATATGATACAGACAGGTTGGAAATAAAAGAATGGAACAAGACATCATGCAAAAATTAATCAAAAGACAGAAGAATTGGCTACATTAATATCAGAGCAAAGAAAATTACCAGAGCTAGAGAATGACATGTATATATGATAAAAAGGCCAACCCACCACGAAGATACAGCAATCCTAAATGCATATGCACCATAAAGAGCTGCAAAATATGTGAAGCAAAAATTGACAGAATAAGACAAAATCAGCAAAATCAGCAATACAGAAGAATTCAACAAGCAACACTCCTTCTGACAACAGAATACACCTTCTTTTCAAGCGAAACATAAACTTCAGATAGGCCAAATGCTGGGCTATAAAACAAAGAATGTACATCACATGGTACATAATCTCAAATCACAATGGAATAAAATTAGAAACCAGTAATAAGGTTAACAGGAAAATCTCCAAACACCTGGAAACTGACCAACACACTTCTAAACAATCCATGTGATGAAGTCTCAACTAAAATCAAAATACATATTAAACTGAATGAAAATATAACATTAGAACTTGTAAGAGACAGCTAAAACCCTGCTAAGAGGGAAATTCATAGCATAAACATACACAACAGAAAACAGAAAGTCAAATCAACAATCTAATTAACATCTGAACAACCTACAAAGATAGCAAAATAAACCCAAAGGAAGCAGACGGAAGAAAATAACAAAGAACAGAAATGAATGGAATTTCTAATAAAAAATTGAAGAAAATATATTAAGTCAACAAAGGGCTGATTCTGTGGGGAAAAAAAAAATTCAGTAACACTGACAAACCTCAAGACTAAAAGAAGGCACAAATTACCGCCATAGGAACGAAATGGAGTATCACTACAGACCCTGTAAATATCAAAACAAAAACAGTAAGAAAATACTACCAACACTGACAGGTTAGACAAACTAAACAGAATAAAATGCTCAAAACCACAAACTGCCACAAGTCACTCAATATGAAATAGATAATCTGAACAGTCCTAATAAGCTATTAGAATAATTTTGTAATTTAAAATCTGGCCAAAAAAGAAATATCCAGGCCCAGATGGTTTCACTAGTTTAAAGAAAAAGTAACACCAATTCTATATAATCTCTTCCCCAAAACAGAAGAAGACAGAGCACTTCCCAATTCATATTGTGAAGTTAGTATTACACAGATACCAAAACCAGAAAAAGACATACAAAAAAAGAATACTACAGATCAATATCCCTCATGAATATAGACCCAAAATCCTTAACAAAGTATCTGAAAGTAGAATTGAGCAAAATATAAAAAGAATTATACACTATGACCAGGGGAGGCTTATGCCAAGGATGCAAGGTTGGTTCTAGTAAAAATATCACATTAATCATATAAAATCACTGTTGTAACAGGTTAAAGAAGAAAAATCCCATAATCATTCTGATCAATGCAGAAAAAGCATTCGAATTCAAAAGTGAACAGCTAGCTGTGCAGTGTTGGTGGCAGAGTGGTGAGCCGAATAGCTACCTTCCCAAAAGTCAACAGCCATTCATGGTAAAAAATCTCATACAAGGAATAGAGAACTTTAACCTGACAGAGCATCTGCAAAAAACCTACCACTAACATTATAATTAATGGTGAAAGACTGAATGGTTTTCCCTTAAAATGGGGAATAAGGCATAAATGTCCACTCTCACCACACTTTTCAACATAGTGCCAGAAGTTCTAGCCACTGCAATACAGCAAAAAAAAAAAAAGGGGGGGGGAGATAAAAGTCACAAATACCAGATTTAAAAAGTCCCTCTTTGAAGATATGACTGTCTACATAGAAAATCACATGTAGGGGTGCCTGGGTGGCTCGGTCAGCTGAGCGTCTGCCTTCAGCTCAGGTCGTGATCTCAGGGTCCTAGGATCGAGTCCTGCATCGGGCTCCCTGCTCAGTCTGCTTCTCCCTCTCCCTCTGTGCTCTTGCTCTTTCTCTCTCTCAAGTAAATAATTTTAAAAAAAAGAAAATCACATGTAATTTACCAAAAAATTCCCCGGAATAAGTGAGTTTAGCAGGGTCACAGAATGTAAGATAAAAAAACCAACTGTATTTCTAAATACTAGCATATGGACACGAAAGTTAAATATACAATATAATTTACAATCACTCAAAAAAAAGGATACTTAGGTATATCTTGCAAAACATGTTTAGGATTTACACGTGGAAAACTGCACAATGCTGATGAAAGAATCAAAGATCTAAATAAATGGATTGGAAGATTCAACACAGTAAAAAGGTCAATCTCTATGAACTGATACACAGTTCAGTGCAATTCCTAACAGGATATTTTGATACATATAAACAAAATATTCTAAAGTTTATGTGGAAAGGCAAAGGAACTGGAATATCTAAAACAATTTTGAAAATGATTAACCAAGTAGAAGGAATGACTCTTCCTGGACTCAAAACTTACATAGCTAAAATAATCAAGACTGTAATATTACAGAGGGACAGACATGTAGATCAATGAAACAGAGAACCCAGAAATAGACTGAGACAAATATGCTCAAGTAATTTTTGAGATACACAAAAACAATTCAATGGAAGAAAGACGGTTTTTCAACAACTGCTTCTGGAGCAAATGAACACATACAGGCCAAAAACAAAACATACAAAAAAAACCCTCAACCTACATCTCAACTTTATATAAAAATTAACTCAAAATGGATCATGGACTTCAATGTAATATGTAAAACCATAAAACTTTTATTGAAAGAAATTTTCAGATCTAAGACTAGGCAAAAGTTCTAGACTTGATACTAAAAGCATAATCCATAAGAAAAAGTGATAAACTGAACTTCATCAAAATTAAATACTTTAGCTCTGCAAAAGACAATTAAGAAAATAAAAAGACAAACTACAGACTGAGAGAAAATATTTGCAAACTATCTCACAAAGACTTGTCAGATTAGTGGTGGCAGGAGTTAAGGAGAGGCAGGGGTGGGAGGAAGTGCGTATGGCTATGAAATGACAACAGTGAAAGAATCCTGTGGCACTGGAAATGTTCTCTATCTGAACGGTCATCATCATGGTTGTGATACTGTACTGTAGCTCTGCAAGACGATTCCACTAGGGGAAACTGTGTAAAGGATACAAGGGACCTCTGCACTATTTCTTACAACTGCATATAAATCTGTAATTATTTCAACATAAAAAGTTTAAGAAAACTTTTTAAATCAACAGTGAAAAGCTCAATCATGAGCAGTTACAACACAGTCACTTCTGTGGAATATCTGAGTCTCAAAAGACATTTATTAACTAAGTACTAATTTGAATCTAAATGCCTTAAAAGAAGAGAGTGACATTTCCAAAGCTACTGATAAAAGTCAAATGATTACAACTAAAGCAAAATAATCAACCCAGTTCTACAGAGATGACTTATTATTAAAATCTCAGAACTTGAGGCCTAATTCGGGGTGATATTTAGGTTGTCCTGGGCCTTATTTTCTTAATCAACAAATTATTACCAAACCAATGAGTAATTAATATGCACTTTCTACTTGCCAAACACTGTTCTGGCAGTTTCCTGTCTATATTCTTCATCTCTGACAGAGGCCACTATATATGGTTCTAATGGAGGCTCCTTCAGCTATTGCGATAAATCCAACTACAGTAATTAAGAGTATTTCTTCAGCCTTCCAAGTTCTAACTCAGCGACTAAAAAATATTTATTTGGAATAAACCACTTGAGTCTCAACTCCCCCACAAGTTTCCAACTTCCTCAATAATTATTCTAAGTTTAGAACAGAAAGAAATGTTCAGATGAAGCCTATTCAAAAAGGCCTCCCAACTACAGTATATACAATTTGGTTTCAAACTGCCTACTTAATCTTAAAAAATTTCTGAAATTTACTACAATATGTGTTTTTCAAGCTTATGTTCTTACAAATGATTTGTTCATAGCACGTTTCACTTCATCAGAACCATCTGAATAGATCTGCTGAAATAATTTGTTTAAAGCTGCATCTCCCTCCAACTTCTCATTTTTTTCTTCTTCTTTGATTTCACCAACCAATTTATCCCAATTTCTTGTATAATGAGATGATGATGGATATAAGTTCTTTACATCTATGGAGTAAAAAAGATAGAAGTGATTAATCAACATGTGATGATTAGGTCAAGAATATGTAAACTTTGTGACCATGGTATATAGAACATCTTAGCAAATAGTTTAGGTCACTAAATTTCATGTTTATAATAAATGTCTTTCTGATATATACATCAATAATCAGATTTACACTTCTAAAAACTGAATCAGAGTAATGTAAAATCCAGAAGTTTCTTTTGAGCAAAATCTAATAAAGTGTACATTTTTGGTATATTATGTAAAATTAGATTAAAAACAGATTCTTTGTGTTAATAATGAGGGGACTGAGTGAGAAGTATACTAGAACTTTTATATTTACAGAAAAGTTGCAAAGATAGTATAAACAATTCTAAAAATAGTGTTTTTAAATAATGCTTCATTAAGAAATTTCTCTTACAAACAAGATTTTAATGTTAAAAATGGGACTTTTTTGAGGTGCTTCTCTATCTTTCAGAGTAGAGCTAAACTGAAAATATAATTATCTATGCCATTAGACAGTGAGTTAAGACTCCATCCTCTCCCCACATTAAATTATTAGATTACTTCAACAGGAGATAATAAGCAATTCTTGAATGTTGAAAAATACACCATGTGATCATTTAGAGTTCAATGCCCACTCATGCACACATTGAAAATAACAGTATCTGTAGGGCACACGGGGGTAAATGGAGGCTGCTTACAACCAGAGAGGCTACTGACTGGCCCAGGGGCTCAGGGCACTGCCAAGGCTATCCTAAAGACTAAGGGAATCAAGATGGTGGCACCCAAGTAATTAAAAAGTAATCTACCTAGAAGTTATAAGAGCAGTTCTGCTCACTCTCCAATGGAAATATAACGCAGGCCACAAATGTGAGCCACATACATAATTTAAAAATTTCTAGTAGCTGTTATTAAGAATCATCACATGAAATGCATTTTAGTAATATATTTTATTTAACCTAATATATTCAAAACAGTATCATTTCAACATGGATCAATATAAATATATTAAAACATTTTATATTCTTCCTTTCATACGGTCTTCAAAATCTGGTATTTTATACTCCAGCACAACTCAATCCAGACTAGTCATTTTCAAATGCTCAGCAAATATATGTGGTGACTATACTGGACAGTGCAGTGCAGAGCTTTAAGAAAAACCTGATTCAAAGTTTCCCTATTAATAAATTAGGACACATTACATGTCCCCCGTCCACTACTACCTCTCTATATCCCTTTCCTCAAAATAGTCCAGAAATGAGAAACCAATAACTGTTCAGTTTGTTGTTCCATCTCTTCTCCTCACCTGTCAGTCTTTCTCTCTGCCTATCCCCCCGGCAAAACAAAACTAAACAGCACCCCCCTCACGGTTTTATTTAGGGTAAACATACAGTTTTCTGATCTACCCTTCCTCCACCAGTAATCCCCTCTATCTATGTGCATTTTCACTAGTAGCCAAAGAAAACAAACAAAAAAATATGTCATAGTAAATTAAAAGCCTAAAAAACATGGGTTTAAGTAATCCTAATGCTGACTCCCCAGAAGAATGGGAACACAGGTTCTAACCTCCATTTTACAGATAAGAAAACTGGCCCAGACAGGTCAAGCAACTTGCCCTTATCTGCAGTCACCAGCTTGCAGGACATAGGAATCTGACAAGCATATTAATTCCTTACAAAAATATAAAACAGGACAGGAGGAATAGCATCTGAAATATCCAAGGCATTGAGTTTAGAAAAACTCTGCAACCATAACACTAAAAAATCTTTCTATTTAATCTCAGAAAAACTTTAACACCTGTAGATGGTAGATAAACTACTGAGGAATGGATGGGTAACCTAACTTCCTTGTTCATTCATTATAATATCAAATAACTGCAAAGATACTCATGTCGGCAGAGACTTTTTTCCATTGTTAGGGATGCCGCAACAACCAGTATCACATATAGGGTTTATGTAAGAACCAGACCCAGACCCTGAAGACCAGAGTTTAGTCCTAGACAATGAAAACTGCTGGGTGCGCTTAAGCAAGTTGCTTACTTTCGGCACCTGTAGAACAGGTCTGCCTACTATAGAGGGCTATTGTTAGAATCGAGTGAAATACTACATTTAAAGGGTTTTGTTTTGTTTTTTTAAATGCTTTTTGAGCTATATATAAACCTCAGCCCCCCCAAGTCTCTGGGAGTCAGACCCAAAAGAAGCACATAACATCTTTCCTCTTTCAAATAAAATGTGAAGCAGAAATACCAACTTCAAATATTTCAATCCTAAAAAATTATCTGTTGGTGTCAATTTTCCTGGTTTTGCTAATTACACAATAGACTAGTTGTGATGTTATTATGCAGAGAAGCTGGGTGAAGGGTACATGAGAACTCATCATTTCTGCAACTTCTAGGGGCATCTAAAATTATTTCAAAATAAAAATAAAATAAAATGAATGATTTGCTGGCTAACTCAGTGTTTTCTAAAAGGTGCCACAAGGAAATCTGTTTTATGTTACAGAAAGAACAGTGAAAAATCTAAAAGTAACTCAAACACAATATTAACTCATTTTAGTCATCAAATCAGAACATTTAAATTTCTCTCCTTTCATTAATGAGGCCATTGCTGTAAAATACACTCTTCAGGTTCTGGTCCTAAGAGTATCTAGCAGATTAATCATTCCATTAGAAAAACACCTGTCTATTGCATAGGCTTAAAATTGACCCAACATAAAGTAGTCTGTCCCTTACAGGGTTAAAAACAATCAACCCTAGTTTTCCACTCTTCTCCTAGGCTTTTCTTAGGTTTTCATGACCTGTTTGTGAGCACTTCTTTAGGAGCAACAGAATGAAATGGGTTAGATATTTTATTCTGTGAAGCCCTGAAAGTCCAGGAAATTAGAGTTGACAGTATCAGAAGAAATAGAAAGGAATAAATGAAAGGGAGAGGGAAGAGGAGGAAATTATTTCAGAATAAACCTCTAATTCACTTACAACCCAAAAAGAAGCAATAGGAAAGGGCAACACACAAAAACAACCCTCAACTAAGTCATACAGTGACTGGGTAAACAATATAAACCCAATGCCCTCAGGGTTTATGCAGAGCATTCACTTTTATTCTGTGTTGAAGAATTGAAAAAGGTAGAAACTTCACATGAAAGGCTACTTTGTATTCATTACAGAGCAATCTTATTGCACTCAATAAATCTTTTCCTGGGAACATAAATAATGAGAGTAGAAAGAACGCTCTTTACTATTTAACTTCAACTATATAACACAATATGAATTTAAAGTTCATCAAGGCCAGAAAACAAACCTGCTATGAACTGTTTCGGTTTAGGCACATCTCCTTGCCCCTCTAGCTTTTCCCATCTCACAGCCTCTGTCTTTTTCATTTTAATTTCAATCTGGAGGAAACACCAAATAAAATTTATTATTCCATGTAAAATATACAAAACAGTAAAAAACAAATGCAATTTCCTTAAGTCATAAAATTTTATAAGAATAGTGCTCTCGAGATAATTTCCTTAAATTATACAAGGTTAAATTTGAAGAACTTTGAAACATTTTGTTTCTACTTAAAAGCCACCCTTCAGAAACAACATACATACATACTATAAGCTATAATTAAGAGTCTTGAAATCCATATATTTTTTCTTCCAATGCACTGTTCTCAACCAGGGGTGATATGGCAATATGGTTATTGCTGGTCTTCACAACTGGGGTGGGGGTTAGGGATGCACCTAAACATCCTACAACATAAAGGGCAACCCCTCCACAACAAATAATTATCCAACCCAAAATGTCAACAGCACCCCCCATTGAGAAACCCTGTTCTAAAGGAATTACTATAGGGGTGCCTGGGTGGCTCAGTCGGATAGGCATCTGACTGTTGATTTCAGCTCTGGTTGTTGAAATCAAGCCCCTTGCCAGGCTCTATGCTCAGCGGGGAGTCTGCTTCCCTTTCCTTCTCTGTCTCTCTCCCTGTTTCACCCCCTGCTCATGCTCTCTAAAATAAATAAATCTTTTTTTTTTTTAAGAATTTATTTATTTGAGAGAGTGAGAAAGAGCACAAGTGGGGGGGGGAGAAGCACATGGGGCTCAATCCCAGAACTCTGGAATCATGACCCGAGCCGAAGGCAGATGCCCAACCGATGTGTGCTCCAATAAACCAATATTTTAAAAAAATAATTACATTTGCTTGTACATTATTGCATGTGAGAGCTGAGACAAAGTCATATCACTGTATAAAAATAATACAACTAATGCTAAAATTTTTATAATAATTCACTCAATAATTATTAAACACCCAATATGAGCAAGTTATAATCTTCAGGGATGTGGTGGACTTTTAAAAATATTAAAAACATGTTCTAGGCCATCTGAAAGTAGGTGAGATACTAAAAGAAAGTTGACAGTATGATTACAAGCAGAGATTACAAATGGGTGTGAAAAGAAGAAGTGTCAGCGCACCTTGAAAAGCTTTGAGGGGCAGGAGCATTTGCAATGGTGGAAGGGGGAGGTCCCCAGAGGCAAAAGCAACAGCCTGAAACTGGAGCCCTGAGGTTTCAAAGGACACAGTGCATCAGGGAGTAGAGACAAGACCAATTTGTCTCAAGTCCAGGATTTATGTTAGAACAGTAAAAAATAGATGAAAGAGGTGTAAGGCAAACTATGAAGGGCCTCTGAATGCTGAACTAGCTTCACTTATTAAAATGAAATATTAAAAGCATCTTTAACTATCTAATCAAGGCTGGTCCCCCCTAGAGTCTACCCTTAACGGTAACATACACTCACAGAGCACTTACATCTACCTTTTGTTTTCCTTGTTCAAATAATGCTCACTCCCAATCTAAGCCTAGCAAAATCAGCATTTATAGCACTAATAAATTATTACGCAAACAGTTTAAGAATCAAAATAGAATTTTTGTAAAAATATCTTATCAGTCTTATAAATATATTTTAGAGAGAGGAAGTGCAAGCACGGGGAGGGGCAGTGGGAGAGGGAGAGAGAAAATTCTAAGCGCAGGCTCCACACCCAGCAAAGAGTCCAATGCAGGGCTCCATATCATGACCAGAACCAAAAGCAAGAGTCGGATGCTTAACCAACTAAGCCACCCACACACCCCTCAAAATAGAATTTTATGTTCTAATTTTTTCTAAGAAAAGGATTTACTTTTGTAAATAGGAAAAAAAATCAAAAGACAAATGTAACAGAAAGAAAAGGCTATTCACACTGGTTCTTTAACACCATTAAATCAGATAAATCATTTAAACTAGCAATTACTGGTAATCTTTCTACCACCTGCATTTAATGTCAGAATCCTTAAAATTTACATTTTAAAATACCTTAACAGAACACTAACTGAGAAATCTGCCAATAATTTTAATCAGATAGGAACGGATGGTATAGAAGGGGTATAGTCCGAGTATTCGTATTTTCTTTAGCACAGAAATTTAACAAAAAACTGTTTTCATAATGAAAAAACCATGAAACAAATGTCACTGGGAAAGAGACAAAAAGTATAGTATTTTTAATGTAATTTATGTGTTTAAATTCTACATAAAAACAATTTTAAGAATCCCTAGAATTCTCTAAAATGAATGACTAATTTTTATAAAGTAAAACACTACCTATATTTTCTCATACACAGTATTAAGTGATAATAATTTGGTTATTTTAAGTTGTTGCTGCTGGAATTATTTATCAAAAAGGGGCAAAAATCTAATAGCTGGCGATGACACAGCAACAGTTACTGAAAAGGGATATTATCATCCTAAAATTTAAAACTTCATCTTGTTCCTTTAATTTTCAATTCATCTGGAAATGAACCCTGGCAACACTATCCTTAACTAGCCTCTGCCTCAGGGCACCTTATATTCACACCTCCTGTTCCTGCACTTAAGCACGGTTCCTTGTTTCACCTAGAGAGTGTTCCTTGTTTCACCTACAGAGCAGCATACACTAGCATTCACATCTACTGAAGCCACTATAACCAGAGTAATTGTGCAGTATGAACCAAGAGGCCTTTGTAAGGCCAAACTCAAAGCTCTCAGTAACAACGTCTATCAAGTGAGACACACTGACCTGAACCTAATTATATTTAATCCATTCATTAAAATAGGGGCACATAATAAAACACACTTAAAGTAGCTTTTTAAAAAGATAAAAGTGGGGAGAGCTAATTTTCTGTGAATCCCTTTTTACCCCTATTTCACTTTCAATGCTTATACATGCTTTTAAAAATGAAGTTTTAAGTCTTAATGATCCTGGCAGGTACCACCTCCAAGAGTTACCAACAGCCCAATTTCAGATATTTTTATTGCAACTATTAATAAGCTATTCTATTTTCATTTAAGTCAAAATAATTTACAAGTTAACTTAAAACCTTGGTTTGAATGTTCCTCTCATATGCCCAGGGAAGGTTTTCAGTAATATCCCAAAGCAGTATTCACAGATTACTAAGTATGAATCCCTGCTGTTCCAGGTTGTTAAGTTTTCATGATTTTGCATACTATCACCCACTTCCCAATTCTTTACACACAGACAATTTAGTATTTTCCAATGAAAGAACTTCAAGATTTAAAGGGAAGCCATTACCCCAAAAGGGTCATGGCATCCAGACACCACCTTCTTAGGAGGGTAAAGCTCCCACTTCCTGTCACAGACTGACCCTGAAGGCATCCTTCTCAGAGACTAGAGAGCTGTGGCAGTTTACTGCTAAATTTTTTTGGGCAAAGTTTTGACAACCATCTGTTTCGAGGCTGTAGTCATTAAACAATTGTTCCTGACCCTTAGAATGTAATTTTCCCAATATTCTCTTACTCAGCTCTTTACATGTTTAATGGCTGTATCTAACCGCTTCATCCAAAAATAGAGTAAACTCAGTCTTCCTGAAGCCATACTGCACATCTACCATCTTTATTTTTACACTCAAATCATTTTGTAATCATTTTTTAAAATGCAGAAGACAGTAATTAATGACGAGAAACTGAAAAATCACAGAAATTCTAATTGTACAATTCAAATATTTACTGAGTGCCTACTGTGGGCAAGGCACTGTGATAGTACCTAAGATCACAGTCTCTATTCTTTCTGAAGAAATTAGTAAGAGATAGTCCCATAAACAAAAAATTCCAGTATATATCACCTGTAGTGAAAGATCTAAATATAGGAAAATATTCTAGTTTCCTAGAAGTTTGCCAAAATGTCATCAGTAGTGAGACTGATTACTTTCTCAGCTCCTTTGTATTTTTTCCTAAATTTTCTGATATGTATTGCTTTTATAACATGAATAAAAATCTGAATAATCAGGATAAAATAATAGCAGTAACATTTTTTGAGCACTATTAAAATCCTGTGTGCTTTGTATATGTCATCTCAGTTAATAGAACAACCCTGTAAAAGGAGATTACCATCCATATTTTAGAGATGAGGCAGCCAAGATAGACAACTTGCTGGAAGTGTCTTTTACTGCTAGAAGTTCTACTTATTTCCTCAGAAATAAGCAGAGGTTAAAAACAGGACAAAAACTATCAACTGTATAATTTTAGAGAAGAGTCATAAATAGGGGCTACTTGTTGGAAATATGACTATAAACAAGTTAACTAATCTCACTGAGCCCATTTCTCCTGTAAAATGTTATTAATAGGGTCTGCCTCATTTAGGGTTCTTATCAGGGTTAAATGAAACCATGTGGGAAAAGAACAGAGCACTGTGTCTGGCAAATAACTGAATGCTATTATCATTATCGTCATCATCATTATAATTAGCTAAAAAAATCTGGGCAAATTATTTAACATCTCTGGGTTCAGTTTATACCTGTAAACAGGTGATAAAAATACCTACACCATGCAGTATTTGTGAGGATTACATGGGATAATACACAGCAGTCAAAACAGTTACCTACTATAATCCTGCAGAGGTCAAACAGTAGGGACTGGCTAACTAACCTACAATGAATGCATACAGTGGAATACTTCGCTGTAGAATACTTAAGGGCATCAAAAAATTATCCAAAATGTATGGTTAATTTAAAAAGACAGCTATAGGCAGTACTTGCAGTAAAATCCTTTTCTTTTGAAAATAAGAATATGCATTAGTAGAAAAGGGGGCAAGAATACACTTCAAAAAAAAAACTTGTAGATTACAGCAACTAATCACTTATTAAAAAAAAAAAACACAGGGGCGCCTGGTTGGCTCAATTGGTTAAGTGACTGCCTTCGGCTCAGGTCATGATCCTGGAGTCCCGGGATCAAGTCCCGCATTGGGCTCCCTGCTCAGCAGGGAGTCTGCTTCTCCCTCTGACCCTCTCATCCTCTATCTCATTCTCTCTCTCAAATAAATAAATAAAATCTTAAAAAAAAAAAAAAAAAAACCTATTACCACCACCGCTGTATCAAAGACATAAAACATGTGGCCCCTGGGTGGCTTAGTCAGTTAAGCGTCGGACTCTTTGATTTTGGCTCAGGTCATGATCTCAGGGTTATGGGACTGAGCCCTGCCTCAGGCTCTGCACTCAGTGCGGGGTCTGGTTGGGATTCTCTCTCCCTCTCCCCAGACCCCCTCCTCTGCTTGCGTATGTGTTCTCTCACTCTCTAAATACATAAAATCTTAAAAAAGACCTAAAACAATCAAAAACACCCCCACATCTGTGTTTAAAAAAGCAGCAACATCCTGCCCAAACGTCTCCAACTCTATCACATCATCATCAGGATTCTTCTATGAATATTAAAAAGAGGAATTCACTCTAAAACTTCTCAATTTTATTGAGTTAAGAAGGGAGAAGGGAGCAATTATTTGTCTCCAAGTAAAGACATTTTACTTCCCACAATTCCAGTTAAAAGCCTTCATATTTTATATAGCTATAATACAAAAAAATTGCTTTGACTAAAAGCAGGAATAGAAGTGGGGCGCCTGGGTGGCTCAGTTGTTAAGCGTATGCCTTCGGCTCAGGTCATGATCCCAGGTTTCTGGGATCCAGACTCACATCGGGCTCCCTGCTCAGCAGGAAGCCTGCTTCTCCCTCTACCAGTCCCCCTGCTGTGTTCCCTCTCTAGCTATGTCTCTCTCTGTCAAATAAATAAATAAAATCTTAAAAAAAAAAAAAAACAGGAATAGAAGAACATTTTTTTTTCCCTTTAAAGATTTTATTTTTAAGTAATCTCTATACCCAACATGGGGCTCGAACCCACAACCCCGAGATCAAGAGTCGCACACTCCACCAACTAAGCCAGCCAGGTGCCCAGAAGAACATTTCTACAAGGGTGAATTTACTACAAAGGATTTTGAAAATTCTAGTGTTTTAGGAGTGAATATTAATCTTTAAAATGAGTATTTCACAGCACAGCTGTCACTGAAGTTATAATCTTGTGATTGTGAGCAGAGAATAGTGCATGAAATTAACAAGATGGAACAAAAGAAACACTACAGATTCTTAATAAAGAAAATGAATTAATAGGCAGATACGAAAGCTGGTAGTCAATAAAGGGTAGAAAAAACTATCAAAGGTACTGAAAAAAAATACGAAATCTGACTTGGAAAGACCCAGACATGACATTGTAAAATATTTAGTTAAGAAATGCTATTTCATTAATTTAAGGGTCCTACTTCTCTTATTTTCATTGCAAATTATATTTCACTTGAATTAATAACACTTAACCAACGATTATACATGAATATGCAACATTTATTCAACCTTGAAGGTGGAAAAGAAAGAAACTGGATTCTCAAAGCAAAGAAACAGCCGTTTTTAAAGCACAGATTTTATGGAATCTCTAATTTTAAGCAGATTCTTCTAAACAGAACCATTCTTTTCTCAACTCACATAAAGGATTCAAGACACTTGACTACATATGAAAGTCAAATGACTTATTTTTCTCTGAGTATCATTAAATAAGCCTCAGTATTTTAACAGTCTCCCTCTGCAGTATGAAAAAAAGATTCAAAACTTTCATTTCCCTTAAGATAAAATTAAGTGCAATTATTTCAATTTGTTTCCCATAAAATACAGCTTAAAAGTTGGTAGTCTAACAAAACTAATATATATAATTTTAAGACAAGAAAAATAATCATCTTCCATTAGACATCTTAACAATTTTAATTCTTATTACAGAACTTAGAAAAACCTAAGCAAAGAAGCACTAGCTTTCCAGAAATAAAAGTATTCCTCTTGGGCCAAGATGAACAATTTAGTAACTATGTAAACTCGGGGAAAGCATTTAAAGTCCATGAACCTCAGTTTCTTTTCATCTATAAAACGAATAAAAATACTCTGCCAACTTCAAAGGGTTAATACCAGAATCCAATTTAAATTCATTCACTCAACAATTACTAAGCAGCAGACTATGTACAATACACAGAGATAAGCAAATTTAGCAAATGGATCATACACTAAAAAATTACTCATTGTTTGTGGAGTTAACTGGGGCATCCTTACCTGGAGGATAAGTGTTTTACACACACACAAATATGACTTGCTTCTCATCCTCACAGACTAAACACAAGGGGAATAAAATGTATACATAAACTACTATACAAAATATAAAAGTAGTTATGTAGCATTTTAAGATAGAAGGGACCAGGAAAGCGAACTGGGAAAACAGAAGAGGGGGTTGCAGAATGGTTAGCATCAACAAGCACTGAAGTTTCAAAGGAGAATTAAAGAATGAGAGATAGCAGTGCTTCATTAACATCCTCAATTCTAGCCACACAAACTTATGTATTTATTACCACACGTTCTATTCTTCCATAAATTTTATGAGGAGACCCAGTAACACAAGTTTTTAAGTCATTTACCATCTATTTAACTACTTCAAAAGAACACGCATTAAACATGTTGATAAAAATATGTACAAAAATGCCAAACTCATCGAGCCCCACATTCGGCTCCCTGCTCCGCGGAAAGCCTGCTTCTCCCTCTCCCACTCCCCCTGCTTGTGTTCCCTCTCTCTCTGTCAAATAAATAAAATCTTAAAAAACAAAAACAAAACTACTACTTCTTAACTTTGCACTTCTGCTCAAATGCTCTGCAGGTACCCTCTTCTTTCTGCAGGCCCAGTTACCATATTCTCCCAGATGCAGGCCAACTCTGATTCTATCCTAGGACAGGAAAATTCAAACATCCTTAGAACTTAAACTCAACAGTTACTAACACTGTATGTTGTAAGACATGTGTATAAAGGTGCAGTAATGGAAAAAGTCTACTTATATCATCTGCTGTCATACCTCATTATATACCTTCATACAATTTTATAGATGAAAAAATTTCAGAGCTCATTTAGTCCATATCTCTCATTTTAAAAGACAGTGAAAATTTAGTCCTATAATAATTCTGTGACTAGTCTAAATTCACAGGGCAAGCAAAGAAGCAGTCAGATTTATTTTTCAGTTCAGCACTTGTCCTACTTATACTACCTACATCTTCTGATTGCTATTTAAAACATTCTATGACTTTTAATTCCATCTCATTTTTTATTTCTTTTTGAAAATAAAAAGAAATCTAAAAATTATATAATTAACTCGAACCACAGTTTAAATCACTCAGTATTCCCTCATGAAGTATTCTAAAATTCAGCTTAATTAAAAAACAAAAAAAAGAACAGATTCATTTTCATAGTAGTTTGTATTTTTAACTATGTTAAGGTAGAGTAAGAAAATATTTATACATCAAAAGAGACAAGTTTAAGAGAAGAGACTTTTGGTATCAAATCCTAAAGAGAGGCTGATAATTTCATCTTTTTTTTTTTTTGAAAACCTCTTTAAGAAATATACCAATCTTAAGTACACAAACACTACTGAGGTTAAATTGATTTTTAAATTCCATTGTCCTAGAATCTGGGGAGGGGAAAATTGTTACTCAAAATTTATAGTCCTTATTTACCTGTCTTTTTTTTTTTAAGATTTTATTTACTTACTTGAGAGAGAGAGAGAGAGAAAAGCACGAGAGAGAGGACGGTCAGAGGGAGAAGCAGAATCCCCTCTGAGTTGGTAACCCAATGCGGGACTCGATCCTGGAACTCCGGGATCATGACCTGAGCTGAAGGCAGATGCCCAACTGACTGAGCCACCCAGGAGCCCATTTAACCTATCCCTTTTAATTTGAAAATATGTGCTTAGAAGGATCTATAAGCTTATAATCACACAGGCAATTAGTTGACCAGTATTTATTTTAGAAATATTACTACTACAACTTTTACTCATTTAAATAATCTCTACACCCAACGTGGGGTTTGAACTCATGACCCCGAGATCAAGAGTCACATGCTCTTCTTACTGAGCCAGCCAGATGTCTCCATTACTGACAACTCTTTTAAAATTGTCTTACCTTTGTTGAAAGTACTTTAAATGTGCTCTGTTCTGAGATTATAGGATGAAGAAGTCTCAGCTGCAAATTATAATCCTCTCCAGAAGGAAGTTTCACCAAAGCAGACAACTAATGAATACAAAATTAGCAGCATATTTTTATAAATTTATATAATGAAACGTAAAATACTTAAACTGAATATAATTGCAGAATTTCAATACTGTTGCAAATTATTTTAAACACTTTATATGGAATATCAGATTTAAGAAATTCAAAATAATCCTTTTTTTTCTACTTGGTATCCTTTACATGAATTCCACGTACATTATTAAATAAGCAGAAAATGGTATGTTTCAAACACATATATAACATTTAAATCTCTAGAAAACTCAAGATATAAGAGCAAAACAATACAATATGTAACAAAAACATCTATTTCTACCACTAACTTAAATATCATCGAAGTTTTCTACTAAATGCTAAGAAATCAAGTTACTACAAGTCACACTAATTTACTATGGTTAGTAAATTCTAGGACATATAAATCACACAACAAATAAGCAGACCTTTTTCACAAAGTATACCACACAAATGTAACCAAATCACATATCTTAATGTCTTTTATATTTGTCAACCAAGTTCTGCTTTGAATTTCAAATCTAAAGAAAAAGAAAATAATGCAAATCTAGCTAGAACCTACACTATAAATACTTTTGTCTCAAAATTTAAAATCATTCAAGCTGAAAAGCCATGCTTCAGATTTTCATCAGCATTTTCCACATCTCAGGAAGAAATGATGTATCTGATCAACTGCTATAGATTATTCTGCAGTATACTATATTTGCAAATAAAAGTATTTAATCTCAAAATAAAAAATAGTTCAAAGACTGTAATAACCTCTTTTTCTGAAAATTCCACATTTACATTATTCTTCTGAACATTCTTGATCATAAGTGTAATGATTACTTGAGATTCTGTTTGATACCAGTCATACCTATTGAAAAAGAAAAAAAACCACCTCAGAACATCTAATTTTCTTAAAGTTGTTGCTTCTTTATGTTTTGTCAAGATAAAAGCTACAATCTGATAAACAACAAGAGCTCCACCTTGAGGAACAAATAAGCAAAGCAGATGGTGATTCGCAGAAACAATTTTATAGAATTAATTTTCTTTGACCTGCACTAATGGAAAAGAACAGTAGGGTATGATGCCTCAAACCTTTCCAGGAGACTTAAATACTTACATGATTTTCTGGGTTCTAACTTATATCTCTAATAATGTTGTGCTTAAGCTAATGTTAAAGATGAAATTTACTCTTAAGAGCTAACCATTACTATATACCATTAATAGCTTTACACTTTCATTTCAACCTAATACTAAGAAAAAGCACTTCTATCCCTCTTACAGATGAAAAATAAGCCCAGATGGGCGAAGCAGTCAGTCAGTCAGTGGCAGGTGTTACACTGGACCCATGTCGGCTGGACTCCACACTCCAAAATCTCTTAACTGAAGTTGGAGCAAACAGCCCCAAACACAGGGAGCAGAAGCAAATGAGCTAAAATTAAAATAACTTAAAATTTAACTCACCCTGCCAGGCACAACATTAAATACAGTATCTTCCTTCATTCTCAAGGTACATGGGAAAACGAATGTGCCTAGAGATTCTAATTATGTGTATCTTTCCCACAGAAGGCTCTAGAAATGTAGGGATCCTCACTTTCAAATTAGACTATATTAGATTATAAACTCCATGAGGCAGAGCGGTTTATCTATCCTGCCACTATTATATTCCTAGAACTAAGCACAATGCCTGGTACACAGTACCAGTATTAAATCAATGTTGGATTATTTTATACTCCAAACATCATAATTATTATTTGATTTTTGTATTCTACTCCTGCTGCTGCCACCAAGCTAGTCAAAGTTCCTTGTCTACTTGGTACTTGGGAGAGTCATCCTAAATCTCCCCAGAAGAAGCATGAATAGATTGTTTTAACATTTCCAAACCATTTTAGGTAATTAAAATGCACCTTGATTAAAGAAATGAACTGTAAGAGTCTCACAGTTTCCCTCTGAAATTCAGTGAGGATGCAAAGCTCCCGATCAATGCCTTGTGTTTCTTTCTGTTACAGTCCTAAGAATACAAGTTGTACACATGGCTAATAAATAATTAAAAATAAATTCAAATACTTGCTAGACGCTTAATTCATTACTGTAACTGTTGCCCTGAGCAACAGTCCCCTTCAACTCATGCAGAATCACTCTATGAAAAATTTACTCTAAAATACAAAAGGCAGGTAGTTACAATTCCGTCAAGCCTACTACTAATTTATTTACCTGTGTAATAACAACTGGAAGAAGCTCTCGTCATACATGGAAAGGTGACATAATATGGAACCAGATGAAGCATGTTTAAAATAGAGAACTGATCTGAATTTAACTGAACACTAAAATCAGTCAACAGCCTTAGAATTAGTTTTCCCAGGCTAAACAAATTTCTAAAAAAAACAACTAAGAAACACCGAACATCACAGGGTAAGGACTTGCTTACTATTAAACAAAAAAGGACTTTTCCCTTTAGGCGTATTTATCATGCATTGTCTTATGAAAAAGAAACACTTACTTGATTTTTGACTGATGAGTCCTCTGGGATGCACACTGATTTTGGCAAGTTGTGAGAGAAAGATTTTTACAAATTAGTTTACAAACTGTATATTAAAATGCATGTATTATTAATTTACCTAGTGCTATGGTTACTTTGATATGGAATAACTACATGAAAATGTCCCTCAAGCACAAAGCATACCTGAATTCGTAACTGTTACATAATACCAGTCATCACAAAATACTAGAATATTCAACATTTTTATAATTTCAGGAGTTAAAATTTCAAAAAAGATTTTTCTTCTTAAAATAAAAGTGTAAGGGGAAAGGAAGGAAGAATAAGATGAAAACAGAGAGGGAGACAAACCACAGAGACTCTTTTAACTACAGGAAACAAACTGAGGGTTGCTGGAGGGGAGGTGGGTGGAGGGATGGGGTAACTGGGTAATGTATACTAAGGAGAGAACTTGAGGGAATGAGCACTGGGTGTTACATGCAACTGATGAATCACTAAATTCTACCTCTGAAACTAATAATAAACTGTATGTTAATTAAATTGAAGTAAAAAAATAAAAAATAAAAATAAAAAGCATAAAACCCAAAAAACTTTCTAAAGGTATGATTGGAAAAGGTTACATTTAAATGTCCAGTTCCAAGGTTAACTCTCTAAACCAAAAATAATTAAGGGGCGCCTGGGTGGCTCAGTCGTTAAGCGTCTGCCTTCAGCTCAGGTCATGATCCCAGGGTCCTAGGATCGAGCCCCGCATCAGGCTCCCTGCTCCGTGGGAAGCCTGCTTCTCCCTCTCCCACTCCCACTCCCCCTGCTTGTGTTCCCTCTCTCACTGTGTCTCTATCTGTCAAATAAATGGATAAAATCTTTAAAAAAAATATTTCAAAAAACAAAAAAAAAATATTTAAAAAACATTAAAAAAAAAAACCCACATTTTTTAGAAAGAGTATAAACTTCAGGCTTAGCAGTGGCATCAAACACTGCTCTGGAATATATGAAGGAACATTTCCATGATGCCTTCCAGATAACAGCTTACTCTGTTTATGGTCTCTCAGCAACAAACATTCTACACCGCCCATCAAGAAACAAACTGATTCTTGACCAATCAATACTTCCCTAAACTACATGTGTGCCAGTTAAGACTATGTAAATCTAAAGAACTTGCCCTGGGTCATAAGTGACCTCTAAGTTGTCCCTAAATGAGAGGGAAGAGATGGGGTTTAGAGGAAGAAAATAAAACCCCTCCAAACAGATTTGAGTCTAATTCAGAATTACTCTCTAGTGTTAACTATTGGGAAATAGCTGAATCTAGGTGATATCAAGTAGAGATAATGACTAGAACATATTATTCCCGTTCACCTTGGTACAAAGATTAAACTAGTGTGAACCACAGCAGTGACAAAATGCACTGTGGCTAAACAGCCATTTGTGTTACCAAAGTATAATCCAAATGCTATTTTATTGTTTTCAGGACTAGTTCCAATCCCAAATATGATACTGTAAGACCTAAACAAAAATACCAGCAGGTGAAGAAACCCAACTTTTATTTATTTAAAGATTTTATTTATTTATTTTGAGAGAGCAGGGAGAGAGGGACAAGCACAGACTGCACACTAAGCGCAGAGTCCAACGGGGACTGAATTTCACAACGCTGAGATCATCATCTGAGCCTAAGTCGAGAGTCGGACGCTTAACTTAGCCACCCAGGTGCCCTGAAAGAAGCCAACATTTAATACTTCCCTCATCCATCACCCTTAGGAATATGGATGAGCCTTTGAGGTATAGAAATAACCAGAGAGGGCTCACTTTTGGTGATGTTCCAAACTCCAATCACTACATATACACATATCTGACCTGATGCTCACAACGTGAAGGAGATTAGCTCTATTAGGCCCAGTTTACACATGAAGAAAGCCCAGAGAATAAAAGACTTTCTCAATGTCACAATGTAATTCTGGAAGACAGAGATGTAAATCTTCCTTCAGACATGAAAAGACCCAAGTGGGTTAAGTAACCGCCAACAGAATTAAGACTACACACACATCTCCTGACTCGTCATTTTATTTACTAACTAAACTGCATATTATCGCTGCTAAAAACCACTAGCCATAATGTAACTATTTGTGTCATATATAAACCTAAGTGGTTAAAAAAAAAAATCAACTTTCAACTCCACCATAACTTTTAATAACTGAAAAAGACTTCCTGGAAATCTCCATATCCAAAACAATAAATGTGAAAAAGAGTTAGATAAACATTTCCAAATTTTACTTAACTTTTGTGTTCTCAGTACACCACAATAAACTCTGAAAGTGCTTTCTAGGCAGCAGCTGTTTAACTTAAATGTGATGACTTTTCAGCAAGGAAAAGATAAAAAATAACCACCCTGACCATACTAAAATATGCCAAATCAACTTGATCACACATTAAACAAGCCCAATAATTTTCATGACTATAAACCTCTTTATCTATTTCACCAAAAATGGTATTATTTCAGTTGCTAGAGGAAAAGTATTTACATGGAATTGCTTAAGATCTAAGTAAAAGATCATTCGGAGTCCTGTCTCAAATATATAGCAAAATTATAATTAAGAACATGAATAAAAATTTTGTACTTACCACCTCAGATTGTGATCCTATTAAAAACATAAAAAGAAAACATTTCCATTTAACAGTACATTTACAGGCAGTCACATACATGACTTCTATAGCACAAACATACTGATTACATAAGCCAATTTTCCATACATTCCAAATTTTAAAAAGTGGTTTAATTTTGCATCCTAGAGTCACTGTAGACTTTTAGTAATTTCTTGACGGCAACACAACTGCAAAACAAATCCATCCAAATCTCCCTTTCAACATAACAAAACTTTGGAAATCCCTAAGGGAACATACACTATTTAAATTTATGATTTATAAAGTTATAAAGTTAAAAACACATTTGCTTAGGGCACCTGGGTGGCTCAGTTGGTTGAGCTGCAGCCCTTGGCTCAGGTCATGATCCTGGAGTCCCGGGATCGAGTCCCGCATCGGGCTCCCTGCTCAGCAGGGAGTCTGCTTCTCCCTCTGACCTTCCCCCCCCCTTCATGCTCTCTATCTCATTCTCTCTCTCAAATAAAATAAATAAAATTAAAAAAAAAATTTGTTTAAATCCAAAAATGTCAAAAATTTACTTCTTTGTAAACTGAAAGACATGAGAAACCTACATACTTACCATTCTGGGCCTCCTGACACCTTTTAATCCAGACAGTGAAATCAGGATCTGTACCTAAAAAAACAAGCTGACTGTAACATCACTCACTCACCAGCACCATCTAACATATTCATTCAACAAATACTTACTGAATACCTACTATGTTCCAAACAGTGTTTTAGGCAATGGGGATTCAGCAGTAAATTAGACAAAAATACTTGTCCTAACAGGATTTATAGTAACCATAATGCTACAGCTATAAATATACGAATACTTTTAACATTTAGACATTCATCCTGAAGAATTTTAATTAAAAAATAAAATTGGTTTTAGCCAGTCAACCTTACTGGTTCCCAGATACAAATAATCTACATTTCCCCTCACTCCTCTTCTGTTAAAGGAGCTTCCTCTCACACAACAAAATCAGACCTGAATTAGATACCCAACACACTATCAGTTAGTATGGGATAGAAGCCTGGTACCAGACAGCTAGACCAAGGTCTAGAAACTTCTGCTGACCCCAGATTTGTTCTCTCATGCAGCTACCCACTTTTTCTATCTACTCCTCTCAGTAGCTTTTCCTGTTACCGTGCCATTCCTACCAACACCAAAAAACACCTCTGTACTTTGCGCAGTTCTGTTTATCTCCAGATTCCACAGCAGCCAAGAGACTACAGATGGTGAACTATATTATTTAGAGATAGCAATGTAAACATGTACATAAGCAAATTATTAATTTCTAAAGACTCAGGACAATGATAATCCAAACAGTACAGGGTCTAATCCAAAATAATGTTAAAATTTATTAAAAGTGGGGGGTTGTTAAGTGGCTCAGTAGTTAAGCGTCTGCCTTCGGCTCAGGTCATGATCCCAGGGTTCTGGGATTGAGCCCTGCATCCAGCTCCCTGCTCAGCGGGAAGCCGCTTCTCCCTCTCCCACTCCCTCTGCTTGTGTTCCCTCTCTCACTGTGTCTCTGTCAAATAAAATCTTTAAAAAAAAATTATTAAAAGTACTCTAAATGAAAGTTTGCAAACTCAAATTGCAGGCAAGATTATTCTGAAAAATAAAAATTGCTTAAAATGGAATTTTCTAGTACACTAATTTATAAATAAAATTCAAACTGTATAGGCCTTAATACCTAGGCACATACACACACACATTCATTCTAGTAGGGGGTAACAATTATATCGAAATCCTAGATTTGAATATCAGTAAATAAAACCAAGCTTCCTACCATACCAAAGGAAAAAAAGGTAATATTCTGAGTTATAAATTTTTACCCGGTTAATAAGGGAACCCTAACAGTTTAACATAAAATTTCCTTAGAATTAAAAGACAAATTTGTTTTTAAATTAAAATGTCCTTAAAAGCAATTTTACCAAAAAACAGACACCTTCATTTGAGGCAGACTTTGAAATAATCCTGAGATAAAAATCAATGGCAGGAAGATATTAATAAACGAAACAATTTAGGTGATGAACTTTCTATTGCTCTAAAAGAAATAAGGAATAGGGCTTAGAAATCTACAAGATGGAATGATTTATGTCTCTTCAGCGTTTTCAAGTATGTATCAAGGTACAGATAATTGGACTCTTTAGAATCTGCTAAAAGCGCAGATATGCTGGCTTGCTTACTAAATTGCCAAATTATTCATGTACCATTCACTACTCCTTCCTAATTTGTAGGTTCCAATTGCAAAGTTGGACCCACTGTCCTCTCTCAAGCAGGTATACAGCAAAAGAGCAAATATTCAAAGCAATACAAGAGTAAATTTTTAAAATATAAAAACATACTCATGCAATACTTTAAAATAGGGTTTCCCAACCTCAGCACTACTGCTATTTTGGACCAGCTACTTCTCTGTTGTGGGGGACAATTCTGTGCAATGTAGGATGTTTAGCAGCATCCCTGGCCTCTACTCACTAGGTATCCATAGCACATCCCCCACTCACCAGTCATGATAATCAAAAATCTCTTCAGACATTGCTAAATGTCCCCCAGGAAGCAAAATCACCCTACTTAGGAACCACTGCTTTAGAGAACTGTGATAAAACTCTATCACAAGAGGGTGCCTGGGTGGCTCAGTCATTAGGCATCAGATCTTCGGCTCAGGTCATGATCCCGGGGTCCTGGGATTGAGCCAGATTGGGCTCCCTGCTCAGCGGGAAGCCTGCTTCTCCCTCTGCCACACCCCCTGCTTGTGTTCCCTCTCTCACTGTGTGTCTGTCAAATAAATAAATAAAATCTTTAAAAAAAAAAAGATTGCTTTAAAAAAAACACACACACACACAGAAATTATGGATTAGTTTATTAACATACAATTCCAATACTTACTATCTAATTTCTGTCCTCCTATAAAAGTTTCTAAAGCAGCGGCATAGTTTTTTTCATGGTATTCACATATCCTGCATGAGCATATTAAAAACAAATACCACACACACATGAGGTCATGCAAAAACGATTTCTAAATTAAATATCCTAATACTCTCTATTGGTAAAAAAATAATTTATTTTAAGTATACGTTAATAAGCCAAGAGATTTTCTAATATACTGTAATATTATATATAATTCTCATTAAAACCCAATTTTGGAACTCATTTCAAAAGGAATTTCTTGATTTAACTGTGTACACCTGCTTATTCCAAAATATAGTTATGCTAAGAAACCAAAGAAGTTTCTTAAAAATAAAATTACACTTATCAACAGAAACAAGCTGGGATGTAAAGTACACAGATACAGGGCTTTCAAAGCATTAAATGTAGCCTGTCCAGCCTGGTTAAATACAATAAATTCCAAACGATGAACAAAAAAGGGATTTGAAATCCATCAGTTTCATCTTTTCCTGGTAATTACTTCAACCACTATTTTAAAACACACAACACACTACAATAGAAGTATAAAATTATATTTAAAATTGAATCCTATCTCAGCTATAAAATGTATAAATACAGAATTTACTATTTACATAAAACTTAAAATTCATTCAACGAACTAAACACCTACTACCTATAGTCCAGACCCAATTAGAAGAGTAGTTATTGCATACCCTTTTCTCAGCATAGCAGTGGAATTATTTGGATTGTGTTCAAGAGATTTCTTTGCATCAGCAACACCATCTACATACAAAAAAAAAGGGGGGGGAGGGTTTAGTCAGTAATTTATGGATCCTAACAAGTTACATACAAAATTTGAATCAGCCCTACATTTTTAAGCTTTCAAGTTGGTGCAATGGGCAAATGCTTTTAAATTAGGAAAAACTAATCCAAGATAGAATCCAAAAAAAATCACTCTCATACCTTATTAGCCTAATATTTAGCTTTCTTTTTAAAGCTATTCAATGTATAAAGCTTTGCCACAAAGTTCATCTAATTTTCTCATTAACATCACTTAATGTAATTTGACTCAAGATATTTAGTTTTCCCTACCTAGATTCTCTACCCAGAATAATTTAAAAGTTACACAAGTAATATACAAAAATTACAAACGAGCATTTCATTTAAATAGTCTGTAAAACAATAAATGTGATGCTATTTTTTGTTAGTATACCCAATAACTACAAATGAAATCTGTATAAATTCTCCACCCCCTGAAGGAAGAAGAGACATCCAGAACATTTGTATGGGTGTTGCTCAACATATTTGTCATGTTTCAGCTACTTCACACCTTGTGTGAAAGACCAACTTAAAAACCTTCAAAGATAGTATCTACTACATCTGATTCACTGTATCTTGTGTAAAATTTGTAACTTATAAAGAAGAAATAATATATTCAGTAAGAAAAGTTACCACAGTAATTCCCAAGAAGAATGTGACAATAAGCTCTTTGACAATAATATTGAGCATCATCTGGTTTCTGTTCCAAAGCCTTAGTCAGCTCCTACAAATACAAACATGTTGAATGTCAATGAATGTTTTTAAAAGCAACTGAATTCTAATTGAACATGATTTTTAATCAAATAACCTATTATCATAAGCTATTTGGAGGAAGGAGAACAGAATAAGCTTGGAGCTTTCCTTTGCAAGAGGATCAATATCACCCCTTCTCCAGTCTCTCCCCCAAAATCCACATCCTAATGTAGTATCTTAGCACAGTTCCTGGCCTACAGTAAAAACTCTAAATGGCAATTACTATCACCTCATTTATTCTGAAGAATTTATATACATTGACCATCAAAGATTTTCTCCCCCTAATTTGGAGAAGACTCAAAGATTTGAGATGCCTAGAAAATATGAAACCGTCCAATAAAAACAAACAAAAAACATGGAAGTTGAATCTAGAGCTCAGGAAGGTTAACAGAATCAATAAAGACACAATGAAGCTTCTCTGGCCCTCCCCCATCATCTGTCAATAGCAGACAACCCTAAGAAATTACCGCACGCTGTTGAAAGCCCAGATACAGTACCTCATAGATACCTACCATCAATTGATCAAGATTTAACATGAGATTAAAAATCTGTCACGCTGGGCAGTCACAGTATGTAAGTGGTAGCTGGAACAGGAATGATGCAAGAAACGACAGCACGAACAGTGAGGCCAAGAATAAATGTAGGCAAATAGGAATGCTTTGATTCTCTACCTAGTGCTCACACATCCTAGGGATTTGGTAGTTTTCTTAAAAGGTAAAATTACTTCAGGGGCGCCTGGGTGGGTGACTCAGATGGTTAAGCATCTGCCTTCGGCCCAGGGTCCCGGAAGTAAGCCCCCCACAGGGCTCCCTGCTAGGCGGGAAGCCTGCTTCTCCCTCTCCCTCTATTGTTCCTCCTGCTTGTGCTCTCTTGCTCTAATAAATAAATAAAATCTTAAAAAAAAAAAGTAAAATTACTTCAATAACAACACGTCACTGATTTTGCTCTTAGTAGCGTGATTCCCCAAAATCAAATTATACTATACTTGGTAATCATTTACCTAAAATGCAACATACCTAAAATCCAAACCACTTTTTACCTTCTTCACCTCTATCATCCTGATCCAAGCAATAACGAAAATCAGATCTTGTTTTTGTCAATAGGCATAAAACTTCTCCAACTTCTTTGCAGCTGATGTCTTTTCAGCTGACTCCAAGCAAAAGCCCAAGTTCTACCAGTGAACTTCAAGGCCCTCCCTGATACAACTCTCTGCTAGCTCTCTGACCTCATTTCTTACTACTCTTCCTTTTGCTCCTCTACTCTAGCCACAATGGCCTCCTTGCTGTTCTTTAAATACCTGAGGACTCTGCACCTGCTGCTCCCTCTCACCAGAAAGCTCTTCCCCAGATGTGCTCAGAAGATCCATCCCATCGCCTTACAGTTAGTGACAGGACTGTCAAATCCGGGTCTGACTCCAAATCTGCTTTTTGAACACCAAACCACACTGCCTCTTGGTAACCTCTCTTTAATCCAAGTTATCTTTCACACACCAATGACATTTGTATTAATGTTTCCTAACACTCTGAAATTCCTAAGCTAAATGATACCATCTTGTACTTAAACTTTCAACAATTGTGAAAACCTCTCATAGCTTCTTACCTGTCTACTCAAATACGTCTTCCAACCAAATTTCTAGCCTCTCCTCAGCAAAACAGGTACATTATGGGTCAAAAAGCCACTATAAATTATACTAGGATCTGGTTCATCAATTTATAAGTATTTTTAAACATATATTATGTAACAAAGACCTGCCAGACACTGGGGGTACAAAGATAAAATGGAATCAAGTAAAAACTGATTTTCAAACAACCAACTTACAAATGACCTTTAAAAACACAAACCAACTGTTTAAGGAGAACCACTTATGCCATTCAGTTAAATAAACTAAGCAATTCACTTATTAGGCTATTATTTTGAAACGTTACCAAAAAACAGAACACAAACTGAACACTATGACACACAAATATAAGTCATAAAACACAATAACCAGTTTATTTTGAATAAACAATATACAGTATAATAAAACCAGAAAAAGTGAAATTAAAACAATGCTTTGGGTTGTATTAACATCATCAGACTTGTGGCATGTTTTGAGAGTTCTATGGTTTCTGTGACAACAGTTGCTTGATGCTAGAGCAAAGGGACTAAAGAGAGGTATCACAAAGGCAAGGACTTCAGTGCCAACATTTGAATGAAAGGGGCAAAAGGCCATTATTTAATGCAGACTCACATAAAATGAGTTAGTTTATAGTCAAGCAACTTACAGTTCTCAAAAGTAAAGAAACTCAATGAACTATGAACTATAATTACACTGAAATCTTTACCAAGATAATGGTGAAGGAAGTACCTTGATAATCTAAAACTGGGAAAAACTCCTTTTTAAGGCATTAAAATTGTTTAAAACTTAGATCTTAGAAAATGAATTTCCAAATCTTTAAAGTTTTTGGTTTTTTAAAAATGCTAGTCAACAAGTTAACTTAAGGTTAAAAGCAAAAGCAAACTGCTCAGACTGATCTAATTGCTGAAGGCATGTAGCTCTGGGTATCTCAATTTGATTCCACTTCCCATTTTCTTCTAGCCACAGCTAATTCCCAATCACAGATGATAAACAAGAGTACCACCAACCCTTCTCCCTTCCTAAACTACCTAGCACTGCTAAAGCTTGTTTGGAGCGCAGCTATCGTATACCCTTTACCACATAACCATGCAGAACAGGTAACACTGCATTTATGCTAACTCTCTCTGTTCTCAATGCTCTGAACAAAGCTATCAATGGTCAGCCACTTCAAAGTCAGCTATCAAACCCTTCATTATATAATACATCCCTAGATCTACCCCCTCCTCTAGAGGAAGACCTGATGCCTTGAACCCAGAGACTTGTCACTTCTCAACTATAAAACCCTGAGCAAGTGAATCTCTTTTGTCTCAGCTTCCTTGTGAGTAAAATGCAAATACCTACCTCAGTTGTTATTAAGAATTATGGTAGGAGTCATTTCACATAACACATCTGAGTACCTACCACATCACAGGCACTACACGGAGAATGTGGTAAAAAAGACACACAAAACCCCTGCCACCTTGTCAGCTTACAATGGGGCTCAATTTAGATAGGGTGGTCCAAGAAAGTAAGTTTCTCTGAGGTGACATGTCAGCTGAAATCTCAAATGATGAGCATCTCCAAGCAAAATGAGATAGTACAAGAGAGTACGTTTTAAGCAAAAGGAATTGCAAGTCCATAGGCCCTCCACAAGGACTGAGCTTGATACATTTCAAGTGACATTTAAAAAAAAAAAAAAGTGCTGGGGCACCTGGGTGGCTTAATTGGTTAGGCCTCTGCCTTCAGCTCATGGGGACCTGGGATCAAGTCCCGGACCAGACTCTGCTCAGCAGGCAGTCTGCTTCTCCCTCTGCCCCTCACCCTGCTTGTGCTCACACGTACACTCTCTGTCTCAAATAAATAAATAAAATCTTAAAAAAAAAAAAAAAGTGTGGCTAGAACCTAGAGAGCAAAGAAGCTACAAGATGCCTACCCTCAGGGGCCCCATCCTGTACCTTACATTACTTATCTTCATTATAGCCCTTTCAAATAGGTCCTACTTAGTCTCACTTCACAGATAGGAAATCTGATCCCGAGTGACATCAGGAATTTTCCTGAGGTTACAGAGTTATTATGAAAAGACGATTTGGACCCAAGCACTCTGATTCCAGAGCCTGAAGGTTTTTTGTTTTGTTTTGTTTTGTTTTAAGTAAACTCTACCCTCAACATGGGGTTCAAACTCACAACCCCAAGATCAAGAGTTTCATGTTCTACCGAATGAGCCAGCCAGGCACCCCCACAGCCTATATGCTCTTAACCACTATTCATACTGGGCCTCAAAAAATTCTCGTAATTCATACGTCTTTTCTACCTAGTGAAATGAGACATCCTCTGTAAAGTTTTTCTGACTACCCTGGTTAGCCTCTACTCTGCTGTGTTCTTAGTGTACTTCATACACCACTCCATTAGAATATTTACCTTATATTTTAATAATCTGTTGACTTGTCTGTCTCTCCACTAGACTGCAAACTTCCTCAATGCAGTCTTTTCATCTTTAGATCCCTGGCTCTCAGTACAAAATTCACCACTAATATGTACTATTATATGCTGAATGAATGAAAAATGTGCATCAGCTTGATACAAACATTTCCCCTTTAATCCTAACTGGATGGTCTTATATAAAAATGTAACATTTTAAGTGATGTATCATCAAGTGTCCTGAATTTCAAAATGACTAGTTGACTCTTGAACGATGACGTGTGTTAGGGGCACGGACCCTCCCTGTCAAAAATCCAAGTGTAATTTTTGACTCCCCAGAAACTTAACAGCCTTCTATTGACCGGAAGCCTTACCAATAACATAAACAGTCAACTAACATATATTTTGTATGCTACAGGTATTATATACTATATTCTTACAATAAAGCTACAGAAAATTAGGAAGTCGTAAGAAAAACACATTTACAGTACTGCACATATTAGAAGATATCCATATGTAAGTGGGCCAATGCAGTTCAAACCCAGGTTGTTCAAGGGTCAACCGTGAGGTCACCTCAAGCTTTAAAAAGAACACTTTCTCAGGGAGCCTGGGTGGCCCAGTCAGTTAAGTATCTAACTCTTGATTTTGGCTCAGATCATGATCCTGGGGGTCGTGGGATCTAGCCCCACATCAGGCTCCGTGCTGAGCATGGAGCCTGCTTAAGATTCTCCCTCTCCCCTCCACTCTCTCTGTTTCTCTCAAATAAATAAATAATTAAAAATTAAAAAACACTTTCTCTTAACACAGCTGGTTCTTATCATGATTACCCCCACTCCCAGTTTCTGATTCAAGCAGGTGGTGGGTCCTGAAAATTTGCATTTCTAACAAGTTCTCAGGCGATGCTGCTGTAGTTGGTCTCAGGATGATACTTTTGAGAATTAGTTTTCTGGAAAGAGTCTGGAAACTTGTGTCCTGAGGGTCCCATTCTGCCTCTAATTGGCTATATACATCTCTATGACAGATCATTTTGATTTCTTTGGGTCTCAGTTTTCTTCTGTAAAATGGAAGGGTAAGTACTACACCATATGAGCAGTAAGGGCTTCGAATAATCTCAGATGGAGTCCAAAAATTTGCATTTCTAATTAGTTCCCAGGTGGTGCTGATGCCACTGGTTCAAAAGCCACACTTTAAGAATCAAGGTATTAAAGCTAACCACATGCCTATTCTATGCAATTTCATTCTTAGGTATGTACACCCCCCAAAAAAGAAGTGTATGTGTTCACCAAAATACACATACAAAAAAATTTACAGTGGCTTTATTCATACTAGCTAATAACTGGAGATGACCCAAAGTCCATTGTTAGAATTGTGCTCTATTTTTATACAATGAAATACTATATATCAATGAAAAAAATACCACTTCACACAACATGGACATATCTCAGATGAGAGTACCAAACTCAGCTGGGTAACTAGTGCATTATTCTGTTTATAGGAAGTACAAGAACAAGCAAAACTGATGCTGACAGAGATATGAATGGGAGTTACCTGGAGGGTAAGCGGAATTATTGGCTGAGAAGCAGCATGAGGGAACTGTGAGGATGAAAGTGTTCTCCATCTTGATCTGGGGGCTATACATATATAAAACTACAACTTCAGTAGTTGCAGACTTAAGATTTATAATATAGCATACATCAAAAAAAAATTTTTTTAAAAGGGATGGAAAGGGACAAAAAAATTCATTAATTTCCTTTAAAAGCAACTCATATAAACTGGATTTCCACAAGTGGCACTGGGGCTAAGAGGACCATAACAAATGTAGATTATGAAATTAATAGCTGTCTAGATGACATAATGAATTGTGAAGAAAGATGCTCAGTGCCTCCTGGAACACTATTCTAATACAAATCCCAGAAGCCTCATTAGGAAACATCATAGTACAACTGACCAACCAACCATTTTATTTGAGGGCCTTCATACCTAGATCCAAAAAACATACTCCAACTTAAAAAGCCCTATAGGACCTAGCCCCTGGTTTCCTTCCCACCTCCTCATCACTTATTCCTCCGTCATCCCACTCTAGTTAAATGGGCCTTTTTGCTGCTCCCTGTACAAGCCAACCTCATTCCTACCTCAGGATCTTTGCAATGGCTCTTTTCCTGCCTGGAATGCTCTTTCCCCAGAGCTCACTCCCTCAGGTCTCTGCTCCCTTCAGAGAGATTCTACTACCCACGTGGCAAATTTCTTTTAAGGTCCTAGCTAGCAAAAAAACTTCTCTTGCCTCAAATCGCTAACCTTACCTATGTCAGATTGTAACAACCCAACAGGATTTGGTTTCCTTCTTCCCTCTTGCTTCAAAGCAAAAAACCCCTGCTTAAATTTTGCATCCAGCTGCATCATGTATCCTTAGCTTGGGCTCTGTTTATTATTTTAAATTATTTAACTCTTGCTCTTTTGACTTTTCTTTTTGGCTTTATAGTCTTTCACTTCACACAAAGTGCCTTGTAAGTCAGTTAAATACATAAACAAGACTTTAATCCATAGCAATCAGTGTCTTGCATAAAGCAACTGCAAATAAATTGTTTTGATAAATAAATGAGTGAATAATGAACAGTAAGAGGACTTCTGGAGATATTCAGAGACATACGGGAAAAGGTTTTTGTTCCAGTAGTCTGCACTTAGCACATCTGTTATGTAAGAATGGCAAAAACCGAATTAACAAACATCAAGCGTAGCTTTCACTTTTTCTTCTTGTCACACATGCTATTAAAAAAAAAAAAAAAACAATTCCTTCCGGGCCAACTATGAATGTTAACTACACCCCCCAGAAATAGAGAAAGTATTCCCAAGGAGCTAAGAGGATGCAGTAACGGTCTAGAAGTGGGAGGGGGCAAGAACAAGGGTTTAGAGTAACTGGGCCACTGTGGAACCAAGGAGAGACGGAAGCTGTCAGTATTAGGGCTGATACAGCATAAAAACAGCAACCCCGGTCCCAAGAAGGTAGAGCTGGGAAGAGGCGGGTCCGCCGGGACCCGTCGTGGCCGCGTTCCCCCAAGAAAAGTGGAGGAAGCTGAGACTGGTTCTCTCACCTCTAACGCCGCCTGGGGGTCCTCCTCGATCAGAGCATCTGAGAAGCTCCGGAAAAACCTGCCAGGGAAAACGACATGCTCACTAACCAAGTGGGGGGTAGGTGCGAGGGGGAGATAAAAATAAATAGCAAGAATGAAAACACGCACTTCTGGACTGTTGCAGGTCCTGCTGCAGCTGCCGCCATCCCTAAATATCGCTCTTGCTGTTAGAGCTGCTACCTCCGAGGTTATGAGCTACGCCGCCGCCGCCCAAGGGGGAAACTTCTGGAGAAGCACCAACCGAGCTTCCGTCCTAAGTAGCCAACGAGCAGCCACGCAGCGTGTCGCGGGGCGGGGGCGGGGAGACGAAAAGCGTGCGCAGGGCCGGCTGGGACCGTGGAGGACTGAGTCTCCCGGCCGGCCCCAGTCCCGTGACCGGCGTTCTCAGTCCCCGCCCCTCGCAGCCATGGTTACGGAGGCGTCGGCTATTCACGCTTGCCCTGTCTTCCACTACGCCTCCGCACTCCAATAGAGCCTTCAGAGGTAGTAGTGCCAAAGTACTTTTGTAGCATACTGTTATTCCACAGGAACATGGGGCGTTTGGGAGAGTGTGGACGTCTATTAATAACAAGGCACGTCGGGCTCTATTTTCATCACCGTTCACCACAGCTCTCATCATGGCTACCGGAGGCGGCCAAGCCTTTCGAGACCCGTGATGTCATTCGCCGATACGTGTTCTTTTCCGGGAGCATAGTTCCGGCTTGCGCGTAGATCCCGTGATCTATGCGCCGGGAATCCTAACGGACAAGGACTCGCCGGAAATCATTCTGCCTTTGCAGATGCTAGATTGCAGGAAGCCGTTTGGTTCCGATGCGGTTGTACTAGTCCGTTACCCACAACTCCGCAGCCCCAGGCTTTTTTCCTATTTGGCTTCTCCGATTGAGAAGAAAAGCTGTCACATCCGAAGGCACCGAAGGGAGGAAGGTGGCCTGAGGTGGTGTCAGTACTGTTTTACTTTTCCAACGTAGTCGGTCCTCTTCTCCCTCGCCGCACTTTGACATATGAAGATCAGATAGAAGCTTCCAGCAGGTTCCATGGAGGAGGGAGTGGGAGTTTCTCAGTCAGTAGAGATTAACAAGTAAATGGACTTGAGTGTCTACTACATCCAAAATCTAAACTAACTGGGATTCAAAGATGTTAATATGCCCTCCAGAAATTTAAACTAATTGCTTTGCATGCTGAAGTGAAAGGGGAATGACCCTATGTAAGGTGTAAGGGCGGATTCCTCAAAGGTGTGATACCTGAGCCTCAGCTTCAAAAGCTAAATTAGTGGATGAAGGAAATGAAAAACACAATTTGGATAGTCTAAGACGTGTATTAGAAAAACAACAATGTGAGTTCTAAAATTGGTGGAGCCAGAATTCAAGTTAGACGCTCACTGGAGAGGTAGGTGAAGTGCCAGGTCATAAAGGGCTAGCCTGTGGTCTTCGGAGAAGCTTGGTTGTGATTCTCGTACCGGTGCTAGCCCATTACAGAATTTCTAATTTAAAAAGGCAGTCACAGTCAAATTTGCATTTTTGAAAGTATGTTATTGTGTCTGTGCTATGGAACAATGATTAAAGGGAAAAGAACAGTTTTTGGGAGACTGTTGGGAGAGTGTTACAAGCCAAAGTGACTTAAGTATGTCAGTGATTGCAGGGATGGACAGAAAGTTAAGAACAGAAATATGTGAGGTAAAACTCGCTGGGTTTGCTGATCTTTCATGTTCAGTGCTTTTTGTGTCCTATTAATAAAGCTTCATCAACTCCAAGGCCATGAAGATGTTCTGTGTTTTCTTCTAGATGCTTTATTAATTTAACTTTGACATCTAGGTCTAGGATTTATCTCAATTTTTTGTGAAAGGTATCAAGGTTCATTTCCTCCCATGTGGATATCCAGTTGACCCAGCCCTATTTATTTAAAAGACTATCGTTTGTCATTTCCCCCATTAAATTTTTCTGGCCCCTTTGTTGTAAAGTGGATGACCATATATAGGTGGGCCTGTTTCCAGGTTCTCATTCCATTGGTCTGTTTGTCTAACCTTGTACCGGTACCACACTGTCATAATTAATGTAGCTTTATAATAGGTCTTGAAGTCCTAGAACTGTTCAAGGTTGCCTTAGCTATTCTAAGTCCTTTGTAATTTCCATTATTTTAGACATCTTACAAAATTTATTTCCATTTATAAAATTTAGAATAAGCCTGTCAACTTAAAAAAAAAAAAAACCCTGATGGAATTTTATTTGGACTCGCATTGGCTCTATGGATCTGTTTGGGGAAAACTGGCATCTTAATATTGAGTTCTCCAACCCATAAATATCATTCATACACCTTCCATTTATTTAAATGGTCTTTAATTTCCTTCAGCAGTGTTTTGTAAATTGCAGTGTAGTGGTTTCACGTATCTTTCATTAGACTTATACTTGGGTATTTGGCTTTTTAGTACTATTTTAAATAACATTTAAAAAAGTCTTATATTCTACTTTGTTGCTGATATATAGAAACTATTGATTTCTACATATTGACCTCATATTCAGCTTTCTTACCAAGTTCTCTTATTATTTCTAATACCTTGTAGTTTCTTTTAGAATTTCTATGATTACAATTTTGTCATCTGTTAATAAAGATGGTTTAATGTTCTGTGCAATGATTACACCTTTTATTTCTTTATCTTGGTCTTTTTCTGGCTAGTATGTCTCATTTAGTGTTGACTAGAATAGTGATGATGGGCTTCTTAGCTATAACATCAGAGGGGAGAGCATTCACTAGCAAATGCTTTTTCTGCCTTTATTGAAATGTTCATATCTATCCTTTCTTTAATATGTTAAGTCAGTTACTTTGATCTTCAAATGTTATTTAAATGGCCAGTATACATATGAAAAGAAGTTCTACATCAATAGCTATACTAAAATCATGCTTCAGTCCTCAACACTCACCAGAATTGTTTAAAAGGAATTCCAATACCAAGGCTTGGCAAAGTGGAGCACCTATAACTTGTGTATATTGCTAGTAGGAGTATAAACTGGTGTAATTACCTTAGAAAACTTTCTAAGATTTTTTTTAAGTAATCTCTACAGCTGAGGTGGGGCTTGAACTTACAACCCGAAGATCAAGAGTCGCATGCTTCACTGACTGAGCCAGCCAGGCACCCCTAGAAAATTTTTTGACCCTATCTACTAAAACTAGTCTCATATATACCCTATTACCCAATAATTCTACCACTGGGCATATCCCCAAGAGAAAAGAGTACTTATGTTTGTGTGCAAGAATATTGATTACAGCATTATTCACAGTAGGAAAAACTGGAAATGTCCTTTGATAGGAGAAAAAAACTATAGAGCAATTAAGAATGAACTACCAATACACACGACAATATGTATGTACCTCACATACATAATGTTGAGTTAAGCCAGACAGGGTACATCCTGATCGGTTCCATTTATATGAAGATAAAAACTATTTTGAGGGATACCAGAAAGGGATCTAGTTGGGAAGATCTGTGAGGGAAACTTCTTGGATGCAGGAAGTGTCACACATCTTGATTTAGGTGGCAGTTACATCAATATATTCAGATGCAAAATTTTATTGAGTTATACACAAGATTTGTGCCTTTCATGCCTCAATAAATAGGGAAAGATTTAAAACAAAATCAACAGAATTTGAAATTTATGACATTTACAATAGCATCAAAAATATTAAATACTAAAAAATAAATCTGACAATGTGCAAAAAGTATATATTGAGAATTATGAAACTTTGCTGAGAGAAATTAAAGAACACTTAAACAAATGGAGAGGCATCTATGGAGACTCAATATTGTTAAAATGTCAGTTCTTCCAAAGTTGATCTATAGATTCAACATGATCCCAATCAAAACCCCAAAGGCTTTTTCTGTTTCAGAAGTTGACATACTGAGTCTGCAAATTCAAATGGAAATGCAAAGTTAGAATAGTCAAATCAACTTTGAAAAATAAATGTGGAGAGCTAACTACCTGATTTCAGCACATCAACCTTGTGTACTGGCACAAAGATAGACAAATTAATAGAACAGAATAGAGTCCATAAATACACCTGTACATACATAGACAACTAATTTTCAACAAAGGTCCAAAGGTAATTCAGGGTAGATAGTTGAAAAGATAGTTGGGGTGCCTGGGTGGCTCAGTCCATTAAGGGTCTGCCTTGGGCTTAGGTCATAATCCTGGGGTCCTGGATTGGAGCCCAGCATCAGCCTCCCTGCGCACTGGGGAGTCTGCTGCTCCCTCTCCCTCTGCCCCTCCCTCCACTCATGCTTACGTATGCGTGTGCTCTCTCTCTAATAAATAACTAAATCTTAAAAAAAAATTAATTCAAAATGGATCATGGACCTAAATGTAAAACTTAAAAGTTTAAAATTTCTAGGGATGCCTCGGTAGCTCAGTCGGTTGAGCACCCAGCTCTTGGTTTCTGCTTGGGTCATGGATCTTGGGGTTGTGAACGCAAGCCCTGTGCCAGGCTCTGCACTCAGCGGGGAGTCTGCTTGTGATTCTCTCCCTCTTCCTCTGCCCCTACCCCCACTCACGTGTGCACTCTCTAAAATCTAAAAACAACAAAACAACAACTTTAAAACTCTAGAAGGAAGAAAATCTTAGTGACCTTCAATTAGGCAAAGATTTCTTAGATGTGACACTAAAAGCATGTTCCTTAAGGGGAAATTGATAAATTGGACTTTACCAAAATTAAAAGGTTTCTGCACTTTAAAAATAGTTGGGAATCATACAGCTGATAAAGAGCTTGCATCCAGAATATATAAAGAGTTCTCAAAACCCAGTAATAAAAAAACAACAGAATTTTTAACAGGCAAAAAAAAATTTTTTTTAAAGATTTTATTTATTCATTTGAGACACAGAGATACAGAGAGAGAAAGCATGAGCAGGGAGAGAGGCAGAGGGAGAAGCAGGCTCCCCGCTGAGCCAGGAGCCTGATGTGGGGCTCGATCCCATGACCCTGGGATCATAACCTGAGCCGAAGGCAGACGCTTAACCATCTGAGCCACCCAGGCACTCCACAGGCAAAAAATTTTAACATCATTTCATCAAAGAAGATATGTGGATGTCACATAAACACATCAAAAGATGTTCAGAATCAGTGTCCTTAGAGAAATGTAAATTAAACCGCAATGAGATACCACAACACATTAAAATGGCTAAAATGTTAGGGGTGCCTGGGTGGCTCAGTTGGTTAAGGGTCTGCTTTTGGCTGAGGTTATGATCCCAGGTTCCTGGGATCAAGCCCCACGTCGGGCTCCCTGCTCAGCGGGGAGTCAGCTTCTCTCTCTC